AAAAAAAAAAAAAAAAAAAAAAAAAAAAAGCAATACGCTGAAACAGAACAAAAAAGTGAAGCGTTAAACGCAAATATGCTAAAATTCATTTATTTCTTTAACTTTTCAATTGTTTTTGAAAATATTTTCATATGTGTAATGTGCAAAATTGAAATATTTTTAATTTTTCAACAAAGAAAAAAACTCAAACCGATTATAGTTTTTGATATCACTAATTTTATAAATTCCGTTACTTATATTTTGAAAGAAATAAAAAATGAAATTTTCTTGAAATTTAAAAAAAAATTAATTAATAAAATTTTTAAATATTTATTCACGAAATTTTCACTAAATTTTGGAAATTTAAAACTTTCATTAATTACATATTTGAAAAAAAAAAATTCTTAAAATTTTAAAAAATAAAGTCATGAGTTTTCAAATTAATTCTCAATTTTTTTTATTTAAAGTTTTCATCAAATTTTTCAAAAACTCATTTAATGAAATTTTTTAAAATATATTCATGAAAGTTTCAAAAAAACAAATCATTTAAGATTTTTATTCATTCAAGTTTTCGAAAATCTAGTTCATGAAGTGGTCAAAAATAGAGTTATTAAGTTTTCATAAATAAAGTTATGAAGTTTTCAAAAATAAAGTTATGAACTTTTCAAAATTAATCCGCAAAATTTAACATTTTTTTTTTTAATTTTCATCAAATTTTAAATTAATTCATGGCATGTCTTTTATTCAAATTTAAAACTCTTATTCAATAAATTTTTCAAAAAATTTATTCCATGAATTTTTTAAAAATTAATTCGTACAATTTTCAAAATTAATTTGCATTTTTTTCTTCAAATTTAAAATTTTCATTATAAAATTTTTCAAAAAATTATTTTATGAAATTTCAAAAAATCAAAAAATCGCGAAAGTTTTTTTTACATTTACATTTTTCAAATAATTAATTAATGAAATATTCAAAAATAAAATTATGAAATTTTCAAAAATAAAGTTATGAAATACTCAAACTTAATTCGAGAATTTTCTTTTTCAAATTTACAACTTTTATTCACTATTGATTCAAAAAAATTAATTTAATGAAATTTAAAAAAAAAAAAGATTTTTTCTTTCAAACTTAAAACTTTCATTCACTAAATTTTTCAAAAAATTAATACCATGAAATTTTTAAAATTAACTCGCAATTTTTTTTTTTTCATTTTTAATTTTCAAAATTAATTCGCGAAATTTTTTGGAATTTTAAATATTTTATTCACTCAATTTTCAAAAAGTTAATTCAAAGAAAATTTAAAACTCGCCAATTTTTATTTTTTCATTTATAAAACTTTTTTGAAATTTTTCAAAATATTGATTTACGAATTCTCTTTGCAATATAAAATTTTCATTCATGTAAAATATCTAAGTTAAGCGAAAATTTTAACTAATTAATGTTTGAGAAAAAATTTTAGATTTTTTACACTTTAAGTTATTATAATAATTTTTTTATAACGTTCACATTGTGTTTCAAAGTAAATACGATTTTTTTTAAAGCAAATAATATTAAAACCCTTTAATTTCACGTATGACGGCGTTTGGCGTATATAAGAGAGAAATAGTATAATTTCGCATAGTTCTTAATTTTTATTTTTGAAATAAAATTTTTATTTATATTATTTTATATAATAGAGTATGTATAATTAATGCTTTCAGCGTCGTACACGTTATGTATGTTTTAATGTATTTTTATATTCAAATTTCATTTAATTTTTTTTCTACTAATTTTAATTTTGCTAGACTTATATTTTAGTTGTTGTTTTTTTAATTTAATAGAATTTAAATAGAAAAACAAAATGAAGTAATTGTAATAAGAAATAAATCAAAATAGGAAAATGTAATTAAAAGTTACTTAGCATAGCTATGCAAGAGCTTTCCACTTTCCTTGTGTTGTTGTAGCAACATTTCAACATTTCTTTAAGTGCTTAGATGCTACCAAGCTAGCGTTTGGATATTCTGCTATATTTTTCAGTTTTTTTTCTGGTATTATTTGGTTGTTGTTGTTGTTGTTGCCATTTTCGAAATAAGTTTACCACTTGTCACTATTGGATTTTTCTGTTTTACATAAATTGTTATTATTGTAACTTTTCATATACTGCTTTATTTTGTTTTCTTTTATGCTTTATTAATTTTACATTTCATTTCTCATTTTTATCTAAATTTTTTAATTTTTTATTTTTATTTAATTTTTTTTTAAATATTTTTATTTTTTTAGTTTTCAAGTCTTATGCGTTGCATTATTAGGGCAAATGTACTTAGAGAACGTCAAGTTCTTGATGAAAAAGCAAAGAAAACATAAACAAATGCAAAAAGTATGCAACAAAGGCAACAAAGAAAAACAGTTAAAATAACCAACAAGAATTGTACTAATAATTGCATAATAATGTGACGCGTGGCGAGAAAAAAAAAATTATTTATTTAAAAAAAATCTATGTCAAAGCAAATTAGCAGCACAAAAAAAACTTAAATTTGAACACGACGGCGGCGGCGGCGACAGTGATGGCGTAGGTGTGTGCAAGTGTATATGCAAAAAATACTGTGTCAGTGTGTGTGTGCGTTGCATTGCACCCTCTCTCAACTCAACAAACTCGTAGTGGCTATAGAGTTTTGCATAAAAATGTTTCACATTTTTTTTTGTTTTTGTTTTTTCTTTGTTACAATTTACAGCTTACAGCTATGAACACACTATATTTTGCAACGCTTAAAATTCATTCTAATCGCATAAAAATAGTTTCAGTTTACACTTGTTAATTTTCTTAATTATTTTGTAATTTAGCTAAATTGTTTTTGTTTTTTTTCCTCCTTTTTTTAATGCAAACACACGTTGATTGTGTCAAGAGTAGAGGAGCACGAGAGCGCCTTAAAAGGCAAGCGCACACATGTACACACACACACACACACGCATGCACAGGTGTTTGTTGTTGTTATTAACTATTATTAGTTTTGAATGTGTGTATACAACAATAACAAATAAATTTGCAAAATTTATAATATTATACATACAAACAAAAAGCGGTGACTGAACTGAACATTGCACATTATATATGCATGTATGTATGTATGCGTTGTTGTTTTTGCACTATTTCTTTGTTTGGGAGAAAAAAACTATTGTTTTTTTATTAGAATTTTTTTCTACGGCCAAACAACTCACACTCGCTTTTTTCACTTTCCATCACGCACTGTGTATACTTGTTTGTATGTAACACATATATATATGCATGCATTAAATACTATATAATTTATATAGTTGTTGTTGTATAGAATTTGTATGAAACTCATTAACGAACCGTTTGAACTGTATGCATGTTGGTTAGTATGTATGTAATACACATTTATATAAATAATACATATTTTATACAAACACACACACGCACCATATTTTTTTCTCGTTTATACGCCTGCAAGTATGCTTTAATTTTTAATTTTATTTAAGCTTCCTTCAATTTTCCGCATACATACGAATATAGAGAGTATATATATATATAATATATATGTATATAGTATATATGTATATATTTACGATTTTAATTGGAATTCATATGTATTATTTGACGTCTATGAATTTAATACATATGTCTGTATATATGCTAGGCTGCTTTACTACTACTACTGCTGCTGCTGCTGCTGCTACAGTTCAGCAATGCTTTAGTCTAGTTGTTGTTGCTGTTTGGGTAGTGCAAAATTTTGCATTTTACACAACTTTTATTATGTACATACATATATGTATATATTTATGTATTTAAATATTTAATAGTTTTATCTTTTGCTCTCATTTTTACTATGAAAATCCATATTATACATACGTACGTACATAAATATGTATATATGTATGCTACAATGCTACTCTGCTGCTCGGCCATGGTGTATAATTCATTTAATTGTGACTAACTACAAAATATGCACACATTTGTTTACAATTAGAATTACATTTATTTTTATTTTCATTTATATTACTTATATGTATATATGTATGTATGTATGCTTCATATGCACTTTTATGTATGTTTCTGTTTTTACTTTTGCTTTTTTTCGTTTGCTACACTCCACTACATTTGCTCCAGCTGCATTTGTTGCATGTAGATAAGTATGTACATAAGTGTGTGTATATATGTATGTTTTCTTTTTTATACATAGTATAAGTATGTATAATGATTTTTTGTTTTTGATAGTTAATAGCGAATATTCAGTATTCATATTTTTATTTTAATAAACTTTTTTTGCTTTTTCATTAATCTCTGCGTATATGTATATACAAACAAACATATTATATATACATATATATTATTTATTAAAACTAGCTTTTAACACACAGCTGCAATTTTTTGCTTGCATTACGCACATACATACAAACGAGATGTATGCATTATATGTATGTATCGTATATACATATATATATGTGCATGTAACTTGCCTGCTTGTTTTCCTGCTTTCGTTAAGTGCTTAATTTACATTGCTCACACAAATCTAGCTCAATCAATCATACATTTTTGCTATTGTTCCTTATTTATTTATTTACTTTTTTGTTACGTTCACGCATACCTTTTTTTCTACTACCTTTTTTAGTTTACTACATTTTTGCTATATTTTTAGTTTTCAACTCCACTCCTTTTATTTTACTTACTTATTAATTGTTTATTATTTATAGTTTTTTTTTTACCTAAAAGCTACTATTTCCGCTTAGCGCGCTTAAGATTAATTGTAAATATTAATATTAGTTGTTTTTGTTTTTGTTTCTACTATTCGCTATACTCCACACACGTCTGCACGCACACCACACTCCTTTTCTTTCTAATTATTTATATATATTATATGTATATATATATATCATATATCATGTATGTATACCATTAGTTTCATTAATGTTATTATTTATGTAATTATTATTAATGATTAAATTAATGAATTTTATATAAATTTAATGATTTGAACTAAATTTGTTCTAAACATTTTATATTAATATGTATTTTTTTTTTGTATTTTACTTTCAACTATTTTAAATATTTTATTATAGCGCTCCGCAATCACACTCGAAACTCAGCCGCCGTAGTTGCGCTGAGTAGTTGTTGTTGCTGCTGCGCCATACACGTATCCTCGATTGTTAGTTAGTTGTTTTCTATGCATGTATGTATGTATTTAGTATAGTTTTTATCAGCTTCTTTCACTTGCTTTTCTTGCTCTTTCCGCCAAGCGTAATTTCACCTTGGCCGCCCATGACTGATTTTAGCTGCTGCTGCTGCATTTCTGCCGTACGCATTTGTAGTATTTTAGTTGCATGCTTTATTAGTAGCTACATAATGTCACGCTGCTGATGGCGTTTCATTCAATTCGACGCTGTTTTCGTCGTCCTAATTGAGACAGCAGCAAATGCAGCGGATAGCATATTGCCACTACTACTGCTGCCGCTGCCGCTGCCGCCGTTGGTTAGGGACGTTGGTGAATTTGTTCGATGTGACGATTTCGGCGAAGTGCCCGTCGCCGTTGTGGAGAAGGACGTCGCCGTCGTTCGCGCCGCCGTTGATGTATCGCAGTCGGGGTAGGTGAGTTTGCGCATGCGTTCAATAGAATCGACCCATTCGAGAGAGTAACCATCGGGATCGTCCAAATAGTATGTTCGGTTGGGCTGGAAAGAATAAAATAGAAAAAAAGAGTGATGTTAGTTAAGATAAATAACAAAAAATAAATAATTTTATTTAAATAATGTGGAATTATGGAATTTAAGCGAAGCTGGAATGTCCATACATACATTTTGAAAAAATCGTATTAAAAAGTAGTATTTAAAAAAATTAATATAATAGAAAATAACATCAAAAAAGTAAAAAAAAAAAAAAAAAATTAAAAGAAAAGTTAAAAAAATATAATAATGGAAAAATCAGAAATAAAACCATAAGAACACAAACAAAAAATTGAAATAAAATTTGGTTTAAACGTACATCGTACATATGCAAAAAAAAATTAAATAAAATAAAAAAAGAATAAAAAAATTATTAAAAATTAAAATATTAAAAGAAAAAACAATATCAGAAAATTCAAAAAATAACAAAAAAAAATTAAGTAAATAAAAAAAAATTAAAAAATAAAAAAATAACATAAAAGATTAAAAAAAAAATAACATAAAACAAGAAATAATTAAATAAATAATAATAGACAAAATAAAATTGGAAAAAAACTAAAAAAGAAGATTACAAATTTAGTATTAAAAAAATATATGCATAACTAAACAAAACCAATAAACTTCAAAAAAATGTGGTTTCAATAAAAATTAAAAGAAAAAATATAACAATACGGAAATCGGAAAAAATTACGAGCAACCAAAAAAAAACCTAAAACAAAAGAAAAAATAAAATAAATAATTAAATAAAATAATAATAATAAATAATAAATAATATAAAAAATAAAAATAAACAAAATTTCTAATTCATAGAAAAAGTCAAAGAAAACTCATTTTAAACGCATAAAAAAAATAAAAAAAAATAACGCAACAACAACAAATAAACCTCAGAAAAATGAAAAGGCAAAAAAAAAACAAAGAAACCCGTTTTTAAAAATACAAAAATAAAATAATTAAATAAGCATAACGCAAAAACAGCAAAAACAAAAATCGTAATAAATAAAAAGGAAAAATTATAAAAATGTAAATTTTACAAAAACTACAAAAACAACATTACGCGCTTACATACACGTGCCATTCTAATTTTCGAGTAAAAATACATTGCTCAACCGCCATAAACACACACATACAAAAGACCACATCCACTCGGTGCAAGTCAAACGCGCGCTCGGGTTGGTGCTGATTTTTATTGCATATTACAGAGTGTGCAAATAATAATGTTAACCCCCCTCCCTCTTTAACGCCCCAACAAACACAGCTGGCATACGTTTTAAGATCGCCAACCGTTGCCTCCTACGCTACTCCACCCGGCGTTGGCCATAAAACAAACGCACGTGTCAACGCTTTCCGTTTAGTTTACGACCGGACAGACGGACGGACAGACAGCGCATTAATGCTCATAAAATGCATTGTGTAATAGAAGCAGCAAACAGAGCGTTGGTGTGAAAGCATGCATATATTGTATATATATGTATATACATATTTTTACATACATATATACATTTATATGGTATGTATATGCATGCATGTTTTTATATGCACATGCCAAAGCACTAAATGTTTCAAAAATACTCGTACATACACACATACATACATATAAATATATGAGTATGAACATAAATATTCCGTGTAAATATGTATCCAAATTACTTGACTACGATATAATTTATACAGTGAAATAGCAAGACTTGTGTAGCGGCGCGTAACTTGCGAATCTGCACATCGCAACACATCGCGGTGTTTTTGCTGATTTTGTTGTTTTTGTTGCCTACACGCCCACTTTTCGCACTACTTCTAATGTGCATACATACATATATAGCCCACCCCACCAACTATATATTTACTAACCGCAATACATATAAATTTACAAACATATGTATGTTTGCATGTATTTACTATAAGTATATAATATACTTAGTATGTACATATGTGGTTATTATAGAAAATTCGTACATATGTATGTATGTATGTAGGTAAATATATGAAGACAAGGATCGGTTGAAATTTAATATGCTCAATTCTACAGACGCTGTCAGCCACTACAACAACAAAGCTACCCAACGTTTTTCGCCCACTGGCTGCGCGCGCTTTTGCGGGAACAGTGATGGAGGCAGCGGCAGTGGCGTCAGCTTTTCATGGCTCATCCACGGGTCAGTATGCTGCGTGGCGAAAAAGGCAAAGAGCTGATGTTGCATACATACATACTTACAAATATATAAATATATATACATACATATACATATATATATATGCATGTGTGTTGCCCATGAAAAATGCGTCATTATCAACACGTTTAACGATTTGGCAGAGGGCGCAGCGCGTTTATGCGGTGGAAATATTCGCGGAAAACTAAAAATTTGTTTGTTTGTTATACGAAAAAATTGGCAAATATTCAAAATGTTTGCAAATTATGTATACAAAACTTATAGTTTTCTTTTTTTGCACAAATTTACGCGCATGTGTTGTATACATATATGTATGTATGTATTGTAATATTTCGGCCAAATTAAACCAAAATATATATATGCGCACACACGTAAACACGCATACATGTATGGTATACAAGCAAGCAATGAAATCAATAGCCACCACACGGGGGCTGACTTTTGTTTACAATATAATTTCAACATTTTTATGTTTATCTAAACGTTGGGGCTGGGGCTGGGCTGGTTGCCTGCTAGCCTGCAACCATGGCAAATTTCATTGTCATGTGTCGATATTTTGCAAAAATAAAACACACAACACATACAGATGTATGTATGTATGTATGTACATATAATAACTCAGGCGGTGATTGCATAAACGGCTAAAAACAAATCAACTATAAAATGCAGAAATTAAATTTAACACTCAGTTTCTTGTTGTTGTTTTTTTCATTTTCTTTTTGGACGCACACATGTATGTACATACATATAAGATGAGCGAGTAAATGCATGTAAATAGTCAGTCCGTCACTTGTGGCTCGTAAACGTGACAATGACACGCGCATTAGCACTTGACGGCGACGGCATTACGAAACTTGGCGTTTAACACGAAAAAAACAATTCAATTAGAGGCGTCTAAGCGAAAGGTGATAGGTATATTTTTTCATAATTATTATATACATATATAAATAAAAATAAATGCATATTTTTATTTCGAAAGGCGTTAAGTAACTGTGTATAAAAAGGCATATTCACATATAATAGCCTGTTTAGTTATCTAATATGTTTGCTGCATTTTAATTTTATTTCATTTCTTATTATTTTTAATCTTTTTTTTATTTTTTTTTTTAATATTTTTATTATTTTTATTTTATTATTATTTTTTTTTATATTTTTTTTTTATTTTTTTTTATTTTTTTTTTTNATTTTATTTTTTTTTATTATTCTTACTATTTTTATTTTTTTTTATTATTCTTACTATTTTTATTTTTTTTTATTATTCTTACTATTTTTATTTTTTTTTATTATTCTTACTATTTTTATTTTTTTTTATTATTCTTACTATTTTTATTTTTTTTTATTATTCTTACTATTTTTATTTTTTTTTTAATATTTTTATTTTTATCACTATTTTGATTTTTTACTACTTTTATTTCTTTTACTATTTTTATTTTTTTTACTATTTTTATTTTTTTTTTACTATTTTTGTTTTTTAATATTTTTAAGTTTTTTAATATTTCTACAATTTTTTTATTTTTTACTTTTCCTTATTATTTTAAATTTTTTACTATTTGAAATTTTTTATTATTTTAAAATTTTTTATTATTTTAAATTTTTTACTATTTTAATTTCATATACTATTTCTGTTTTTAATACTTCAATTTTCTACTAATTTTATTGTTTTAATATTTTTACTATATTTACTTTTTTTATCTTTTTTATAATTTTTATAATATTATATATATTTTTTTAATATTTTATTTATTATGTTTTAATATTTTATTTATTTTATTTTATATTTATTATTAGTATTTCTATATTTTTAATTTTTTGTTAATTTTTTTATTTTTGCAATTTTTTATTTTTTGTTATTTTTTATTATATTTTTTATAATTTTTAAAGTTTTTTATGCTTTTTTTATTTTTATTATATTTTATATTTTTGATTATTAGTTTTATTATTTTTTTCCTTTTTATTATTTTTTCTTTATGTTTTACAATTTTTATAATTTTTTTTTATTTTTTACTCTTTTTTATTAATTGTGTTTTTAGTTTTAAACTATTTTTTAATAATTTTTACGATTTTTATTTATTATTTGTTTTACTATTTTTTATTATTTTTTTTTTAATATTTTCTTTGCTTTCTTATTATTTTTATTTCAACTTTTACCATTTTTTCGTTTGTTACACAACAGCTACATAGCTTCGCGCCACCTTACTTATTATTATTATTATGCAATGTGCATGTGCCGCCTTGCGCTGTCGTGTAATATGAGTTGCCAAAACAAAAATGAATATTGACAAACGGCGCAAAAAAAGGCAAAGGGCGGCACATTACAGTTATTGGAAAATTTATTAAGAATTTTTGCAAGCGTTAGTTATTTTGCTTCTGTTGTGGTGAATATGGAATTTTTTGATTCAATTAAATTTCTTTTTAATATCAGCTTAGAGTGGTATTAGTTAGTATGTGACGTCATATCACAGCATACAGTAAAACAAATAAAAAAAAAACAACTTAATTTTAAGTTATAAGAAGCGTTAAAGTGACGAATTAAAGCGTTTAAATGAATTTTTATTGGTTAGCTATTTTGCTAACAGGCAAGGTAATTGAGTCTGAAAAATTTATATTTTTTAGATTAAAAATTTAATATTTTAGACAAAAAATATATATTATTTTTAATTAAAAATATTTTTTTAGGTTAAAAATATTATTTTTTTAAATGAAAATATTATTTTTTTAGATTAAAAATATTATTTCCTTGAAAAAAAAGAGTATTTTTTTCTTATTGAATTATAAGACAAATTATGTGCAAATTTAAATTCATTAATAAATATCATCCATTAAGGATTTTCAATTACCTACAAAACATATTTACATACATACATACATAAGAGCTTTTGTGGATAAATGGCAGTCACATTACGTACGTCAACAGAGCGCCGTAATTAGGTTTTGTCGTTTTTATAGCCGTACACACTTAACAATAGGTAATAGGCAGGTAGCTAGCAAAGGCTTGAATGACGACATCAAAGTTAGTTACAACAAAAGTTCAATAAACCAACAAATTGATGTTTATTAATTAAACTAGCCACGTTTACTGAACTTGCCTTACTAATGAACTATGTATATACATATGTATTCCCTCCATAACCGAACTTGATATAATATAATAGTTTGTGCCGATTAGGTGATTGTACTATGTACTATTTATTATGAGTATTAAGTCATTCATAATATAGTAACAAGGCGCACATGCTATAGTTCTACATATGTATATACATATTTATGTTTGTATATACATACATATGTACCTAAATTTTTTTTTTCAAATTTTGCTTTTAAACGAAATACTCTTAGAAAGCCAAAAGTTGCTTAAAAAATTCTTTTTTTGGTATGTATATTACAAAAACATTTTATATGCAAAAATATATATGTATGTCACCCTATTATAAAATTATATTATTATTAGGCAACAGTTGTTTGCTCACACACTTATCACTCTTCCCACCCGGTATGATGTAACATCGCCACACTAATCCAACCTGCATTCTTGTAGGAATTTGAAATTTTTTTTTGTTTTTTTTTTTGGATTTTTTTTTTTTGGCAACATGTAACGCTGTCTGTGTCTGTGTATTTTGGTCTATTGTGTGACTATTTCGTAATAATTAGAGTAACCATGGCGCCACCTTTTTTACTTACATACATACATATGTACTATGTGTGTATATGTGTGCTTGCAACAGCCGAATATAAACGATGCGACAAATAAACTGGGACATAAATATACTAAAAATGTTTGTATATACATATGTACATATGTAGATATGCTAAATTTAGCGTACTAAATATGCGCCAAGTATATGAAAAAGTGAGTGCAATTTTTTTCATAATTAAAATGAAATGCGCTAAGCGTGCGCTGCTTTGTAGAAAAATATAAGGCAAAATAAATAAATAATTAATTAAAAAAAAAAAATTTTTTTTAGAATTTAAAAATACACGCTATGCCATTCATACGAGTATAGCAAGCTATAGACGCTTATCTATTGCCTGAACTTTTCACATTCATTAATGTATTTTAGTAATAAAAACATCCGCCCGCCGCTTGACGCCAACAGATCGCATTTCGATAAAGCAATAAATGTCATTTGAAATGTTTATAAATACAATACGTATACGAAATAAATATTTTAAAATGCATAGAAAAATACAAACACAAGTGCACAGTCCAGCTCACTACTATTATTATGTTATGTTATGTTGTATTTATTTCAACTTCTAATATTTTTATTCCATAATAATAATTAATTAATGCTTTATTAGCACACTTACCGTATGCACAAAGAAGATTTTGAAATTCTTTGGCTCCACACGCAATTCAGCACTCCATGGTATTTCGCCCTTCTTCACCATCTGTACGGGATCGATGTAGATTAAGCGTGGTCCTGTCGTCAATAGCAACATACGTTTGCGTGCAAATAAACCTTTACGCTTATTTATATAGCCCTTCTTCAATATAACCTCATTATCGGCGAAGACATGCCATTTATCAGACTTTTGTTGTTCCAGACGTACTTGTTTCTCGCACTCGGAAAGGTCATAAATATCTAAAATATTAATAAAAATTATTTATTTTCATTATTCAATAACTTTGCACTGCTTAAACTATTGCTACTCACTTTTTCTTACAGTCTTTTTCTCAATCTCTCTACCATTTGGCCGGCTGCACTCATCATCGTCACTGCCAAGCGATGTGCCCAATTCCATGCCGAGCAAACGTGTCAGCTGCTTATCACCCAAACCGGGTTCCAGATTTTGCGACATAAAATAATGTGAACTGAAATTTTCATCCTTCGACACGCCCGGCAAGTACGGATAGATTGGCGGCGGTGTTTGTTGACGCAATGTGGCGAAATCGATGCCATTAAAGAACGGATGCATACGTATACTCTCATAGGTAGCACCCAAATCGTTGGCACCCAAACGTTCCTCGGGTTGTACTTTCAACAAACGTCTGACTAGATCTTCAGCATCTTTATCGAAGCCCTGCGGAAAGTCTATATTACAGGATACAATATCCCTAAATATGGAGTAGTCATTGCTGCCACGGAAGGGTGGTAAGCCGGATATCATTTGATATACGATGCAACCGAGTGCCCAGAGATCGGCAGCTGGGGTGACGAGACCATTTAATAGCACTTCCGGTGAGACATATTGCGCTGTGCCAACAAAACTACCACGTCGACGACGATAGAAGAAACGTCCATGTCGACTACTATTCGTACGCTGTTGTTGTTGATGATCCTCATCACTACCCGTATCATTGGTATCCTCATTGGTGTCATTATCATCATCATCTTCATCGCTGCGATTATTCGAATTACGTTGTAGACGTGTATTCGACATTGTTGTGCAATTAGCAAAGGCGATACGGAAATTAACACGATCTTCGGCGGTGAATATTTTCGCCGAACCAAAATCAGCAATCAACGTATGCATATCTTCATCCAAGAGGATATTCTCTGGCTTCAGGTCACGATGCACCACATTCCGTGAATGCATTTCCTCACAAGCTAATACTAATTCGGCGACATAGTGACGTGTACAATCCACATCGAAGGAACCCACTTTATTGATGTACGGCAAAAGATCACCATTTTTGGCATAGGTCATTACAAAGTAGAGGGAGCGACGATCCTGGAAGGTGCACGATAAATTCACAAAACCGGGTACATTGGTCATCATGTGTAGTGCCTCGCGTTCACGTCGCACATACTCCTGTTTGTCCTCGCGTATGATGTGACGCTTCTCGCATACTTTAACTGAAAAGAAAGGAGAAATTATTAGAATTATATTTTACATATCGATTTCTGTTCTTAATTTTGTTAATAAAAATATTTTTATTCTTATTTTAGGTTACTAACTTAGGTTTTTAAGTTATAAATATACTTCATATGTATATTTTACTTGCATTTCATTTTTTTATATTTGTATTTAATTGTTTAATGTTTTATTTAATTGTTTTCTTTATATAATCTTTTATATTCTTTATTTTTAACTTATTCTATTTTTTATGTTTAGTTTATTTAATTAATTTTTTCCTCATTATTAAATTTTATTTTATGTTTTTTTTTATATTTTAATATTTTATTTTTATTTTTTATATTTTATTTCTTTATATTTTAATATTTTTATATTTTTTGATATTTTTTATATTTTATTTTATTTTTTTATATTTTCATGTCTTCTATATTTTCAAGTTTTTGTATTTTCATATTTTTTAATATTTTTTTTTTAATTAACTTTAAAATTGTTATTTGTTTTTGTTTTCAGTTTTAATTTTAAATTTGTTTTTGTTTTTATTTTTAATTTTTTATTTTTTTTTTACATTTAATTTCTAATTTCTGTTTTTATTTTTAATTTTTTATTTTTTTTTACATCTCATTTCTAATTTTTGTTAAATTTCATTTTTAATTTATTTATTCTATTACTTTTCATTCGTATAATCTTTATTTTTCTATTTATATAATCTTTTATGTTCCGCTTATTTAACTTTTTTGATTTTAATTTTCTAATTACTATTTATTTAAATATTAATTTTTGTATTCAAATAATTTTTTTTATTCATTTACAATTTTCTAATATTTCATTCCTTTTCATCTTTTATTCACTTATTACATTTTTTATTTATTATATTTTTTAATTATTATATTGTTTATTAATAAAATTTTAATTGAATTATTTTTGTTTATTTATTTTTTTCTTTATTTATTTATTGCTTTATTATTTATTTATTATTTTATTGTTTATTTCTATTATTATTATTACTATTATTATTATTATTATTATGATTATTATTATTATGATTATTATTATTATTATTATTATTATTATTATTATTATTATTATTATTATTATTATTATTATTATTATTATTATTATTATTATTATTATTATTATTATTNTATTTATTTATTTATTTATTTATTTATTTATTTATTTATTTATTTATTTATTTATTTATTTATTTATTTATTTATTTATTTATTTATTTATTCATTGTTTTATTATATTTTTGTTTATTATGTATTACATTATTTTTCATCCATTTTATATTTTATTTTTTTCATCATTATTTTGTGAACCCCTTTTTTGTAATCTTTCACCTTTTTATTCAAATTTTGTTTCATTTAATTATTTATTTTTTCATTTTCAACTTCTTTTTAATAAATTTTTATTAAACTATTTTTTATTATAATTTCTTCTCTTACCTAATGAGCCTATTGCTCTTTTAAAAGCATATTAAAACAAAAATAAAATTTTTATAAATCTAAAAATAGTTAAAATTTTTTTAAGCATTAAAACTACCGGTTCGGGCGCAATAAATATGTAACACCCACAACACAAACATATGCATTTTTTCTGTTGACTTGTAAACACACCCTCAAAAAAGTCAATAAGCGGCGAGCTATAGCTAATTGAGTATGACAAATAACTCGATTTACATATCAAATATGTACGTATGCATGTACATATGTTTGTATGTATGTACATGTACATATCGATGTTGGATTAAGTAAAATAAATATATTTATTTATTTATTTGAGTAGTGCAGAAAGCAAAAATCCATTTCCAATCGTGGGCGTCTCGGGACGCCAGAAGAACCGGAGAACGCAGACAGGGTGGGCGTCGAGATATGTATGTACAATAGGTATATACAAATGCGCTTTTTATAAGCCACAAATAATGGCCAGAGATTTGTATATAGTATGCACATATTGTATATACATACAATTAGCTACAATAGCACATAAAGTAAAATGTAATATTTTAATAAATTGGCAAAGCTTCGAGGTGTGAAAGTCAGCAAAAACAGCTGCTGCGATCCCCATACGAGATTGGGCGGCAAATTTAATTAGTTTGATATATGTATATATGCAATGTACAATAGATAGATATATCTGTATGTATGTATGAACCTCTGTATTTATGTACATATATATATAATATATGAGTATATTATATTTGCCTTAGCTACAGTTGTTTCTAGCCACATATTTTAATTTCTCGCTTCAAAAGCTCATAAAAATGCACTCAAAAGCACATTTGTATATAAATATGTATATATTTCGTTATATTATATTTGCCTACATCACATTTCATATGGCGATTGAAAAACCCACATATAAACGGAACAATATACATACATACATTTTATAAGTATTTATGTACATACGTGTATGTACATGGTAGTAGGTATGCAAACAGGTCTTAACTGTAAATTTTTAAAACGTGCTGCTTGCAAAAAAAAGTGACTTTGAAATATCAAAAATCGAACGCGGCTAGAATTTTAGCTACATACATGCATGCATACATATGCACGATTGAACAGCCGCAGCACCAACAGATAGACGGACACGCGTGCGACAATAAAATTCATGCAAATCTCGCAGATCAACGACTAACAAGAAGGTGGTAACGGTTCCTGGTGCAGTTATAAAAAATGTGAAAAAATAAAGCAACATATATATAAAAAAAATAGAAATAAATAAAAAAATAAAAAAAAATAAATAAATAAATAAAAAAAAAAAATAAATAAAAAATAAAAATAAATAAATATTAAAAATTAGAAGACAAGAAAATGTAAAAAAAAATATAAAAAATAAGAAATATATGAAACTTAAAAATAAATTAAAAAAGGTATAAAAAATTAAAAAAAAGTAATAATTAAACTGAATTAAGTTATTATGGCTTGACAAAAAGTGCATATTTTTATAAACCTTTCCTTTTTTATTAGCCAAAAATGATTGTTGACTATCGGGCAAAATACTTTCATATTAGCGAGCGAGAACAAGCACATCACTGAGTCGGTGGTGGTTTGACTGCTTGGCCAAAAAGTATTTAATATACAAAAATTTCTTATATTCACAAAAAATAAAAATAAACAAAAAAAAATTCGCAAATTTTCATTGAAGCAAACGGCAATGCAAGGAATTTCTATGCTAATTTTTTGCTTCAACAATCTCAAGAGCACACAGAAATAAGAAAGACAAAAACAAAAACTTTTTAATACAATTCGTAATTAATCCACACGCGCAGCATTCGAATTAAAGGAAAAAAAAATAGAAACCCGATTAGACAGCTACATATGTACATACATATATGTATGTTATATACATTGGTATGTATGTTTGTGAATTTTTTTTTTTGGCAATCAGCAAAATGCTCCCCCACTAGATGGAATTATCAGTTAAGACACTATGAATTTTTGAAGAAATCTAGCAGATGGTAGGCCGAGAAGACGTTGTTTGTTAGTTATGAAGAGTCTCTGCTTAGTTTCGAAACTAATCAATCGATTTTTTTTTTTTACTAATATATGATGCATTTATAGCATCTCAAGGTCTCGCGATTTTTCAGTGTCCTTTCTACACTGGAATTGCGTTTGTCAAATAGCTAATGCCCCCTCATCAGGTTATTTCATACATTCAAATTTACCTCACCGCCTCTGCTGCTTGATTTAGTTACTTTTGATCTGCGGTTGTCATGTGTGTGTCAGTTGTTGTTCTTATCGCTTTACCTATAAAATATTATATTTATTTTTATGCATATATATGTATGTCTGTATGAACGAATGTATATTTGCAGTTGTTTCACACATTTCACTTGGCAACGCCGGTCGGTCTTAGGTCTTAGAACAGAACATGTCGTGCTATGTTATTTCAACAAAACAGTTTAACAAAAAAGCTGTTTTGTGGTTTTCTATTTTGTTTTATTATTCGTTCTTTTGCTTTAAATGAATGCGTTAATTTTTTAAATTTATTTATTTGTTCGTTTTACTTTTTTTGCGGCATTTTATTTTATTTTGTATCTATATTTATTCATTATTTTGTTTATTATTTATTGTTATTATTATTTTTTTGTTATTATTTATTATTCATTATTTTTATTTATAATTATTCATTTTTTTTAGTATTAATTATTATTTATTGTTTTTATTATATTACAAAAAAATTATAATTTTTATTATTATGCATTATTAGTTTTTTTATTATTCTTCATAATTATTTTTGTTGTTATTTTTTTTAATATTATTTATTATATTTTTTATTGTTATGCATTTTATATTTTTTATTGTTATGCATTATATTTTTTATTGTTGTTCATTATATATTTTTTTATTCTTATTCATTATTATTTTTTACTTATTATTCATTATATATTTTTATTATTATTCATTAATATATTTAATATTATTCATCTTTCTATTTTTTATTCACTATTTTTTTATTATTGTTGAGTATTTTTTTTTATTATTTATTATTCATTGATAGTTTTTATTATTATTCTTCTCTTTATTTTTTATTCATTATAATTTTTTATTATTATTCATTATTAATTTTTATTGTTATTAATTTTTTTATTATTATTCATCTTTTCATTTTCTATTCATATTTTTTATTATTATTCATCTTTTCATTTTTTATTCATATTTTTTATTATTATTCATATTTTTTTATTATTATTCATATTTTTTTATTATTATTCATATTTTTTTATTATTATTCATATTTTTTTTTAAATTATTCATATTTTTTTATTATTATTCATATTTTTTTTTATTAATCATATTTTTTATATTAATCATATTTTTTATTATTATTCATCTTTTTATATTTTATTCATTATTGTTTTTATTATTATTCATTATTTTTTTTTATTATTCATTATTATTTTTTAATTTTATTCATTATTAATTTTTATTGTTATTCATTTTTGTATTATAATTAATATTTTCTTATTAATTATATTTTTTTTATTATT